TAAAAGGATAAGATAATGTTATGAACAACTCTATGTACATGATTTTGACAACTTAAGTGAAATGGACAAATTCTTGAAAGCCACAAACTACCCAAATTTACCAAAGATGAAATAGATAATCTAAATAATCCTATAACTATTTAAGCAATTGAATTTTTTAAAGCCTCCCACAAAAATAAATCTCCAGGACCAGAGAGCCATTGTTGTCTAGTTCCACCAAATATTTAAAGTAACACCAGCCCTGACCTGTGTGGCTCAGTTGGTTGGGCGTTGTCCCACAAAGCAAAAGGTGGGCAGCTTGATTCCCAGTCAGGGCAGACAGCTGGGTTGCAGGTTTGGTCCCAGTCTGAGCACGGAAGCAGCCAATAGATGTTTCTCTGCCTCTCTTTCTTCCTCCCTTCCCCTCTTTCTAAAGATAAATAAATAAAATCTTAAAAAAAAGAAATAACACCAATTCTACACAATGTCTCTAGAAAAAGAGAGACAGTGCACTTCCCAACTCATTTCATGAGGCAAGCATCACTCTGATATCAGAATTAGACAAAGAAAGTGCAATAATAAAAAAAAAAACATAGATCAATATCCCCCTAAGGACAAGATGCAAAATTCCCCAACAGAATATTAGCAAATTGAATTAGCAACATATAAAAGGAACTATATAGCATGTCAAAATGGAGTTTATCCCAGGATGCATGGCTGGTTCAATATTTGAAAAATAAATCAACGTCATCTACCACATTCACAGTCTAATGAAAAAAATAATTATATTAATTCATGCAGAAAAACATTTGACAAAATTCAACATCCACTTATAAAAGTTCAGTGAATTAGGGACAGAACAGCACTTCCGCAGCCTGATAAAGGACATTTGTGAAAAACTTACCATGTTTACTGGTGAAAGACTGACTACTCTCTCATACCATCAGGGACAAGTAAAATGTCATCACTCTTATTCAGCATTGTGCTGAATGTCCTAGCCAGTACAGCAAGACAAAAATAAATAAAAGACACACAGATTGGAGAGGAAGAAATAAAATTGTTTCTGTTTGCAGATGATGTGATTGTACATAGAAAATTTCAAGAAATCTACAAAAAAACACCCTCCTAAAATTAATAAGTGAGTTTTGTAAAGTTGCAGGCTACATGGTCAACACTACAAGAATCAGTCATATTTTGCCCCAGCCCATGTGGCTCAGTTGGCTGGGTGTCATCCCATAAATCAAAAGGTTGCTGGTTCGATTCCCAACCTGGGTTGAGGTCGGGGTGTGTACAAGAGGCAACCAACGATGTTTCTCTCTCATGTTAATGTTTCTCTCCCTCTCTTTCTCCCTCTCTTCTCCTCTCTCTAAAAATAAATGAATAAAATCTTAATTTAAAAAATCATATTTTTATATACTAGCAATGTATAATTAAAACGAAAAATTTTAATTAGGTAAATGCAAAAGCTCCATATAATTTTATGAATAAAAACCTGAGTGAATATGTAGCAATGAAATTCAGTAACATTTTAAAGGAAATAAACAATTACTGAGTCTAATAATTATAAAATATATAGTATTTTATATAAAAATATATAATATGTCATGACCTAAATAGATTTATCCCAGGAATGAACAGATGGTTTTTATTATTTTTAAAAGATTTTATTGATTTATTTAGAGAGAGGGGAAGGGAGGGAGAAAGAAAGGGAGAGAAACATCTGCATGAGAGAGAAACATTCATAGGTTGTCTCTCACACCCACCCCAACCCAGGACCTAACCCTCAACCCGGGCATATGCCCTAACTGGGAATTGAACTGGTAACCTTTTGCTTTGTGGGACGATGCCCAACCAGTTCAACCACACAGGTCAGGGCAGAACAGATGATTTTACTTTGATAAATTAATAAAAGTGACTTATCTCATTGCAGATTAAAGGGAAAAAATGCTGATTTAATGGGTGCAGAAAAAGTATTTGCTAACATTCAATATCATGAAAAAAACTCCTAGCAAACTTGGAATAGAGGAAACCTCCATAAAGAAAAAAAAAGTCATTTTGCATACATAATTGTATATATGCAAAATATGGAAATATCTACAAATAAATTATGAGAAAGTTCCTTATGTATCCTGGACACACAAGTCGTTTGCCAGGTAGATGATTTGCATACATGTTCTTCAATATGTGGCTGCTCTTTTTATTCTCCTAACGGTTTGTTTTCCAGAAGAAAAGTTTTTCGTTTTGATGAGGTCCAGTTTATCATTGTTTTTAGTGGGTCACCTTTTTGGTGTCCTAGCTAAGAAATCTCAATTAACCCCAGGTTACAAAGATTTCCTTCATATTTTCTTCTAACAGTTTATAGTTTTACATTTAGAGCTATGAATCACATTGAATGGAGGGAAAATGTTTACCACATCATTTACAACTGATAAAGGGCTCACATCCAGAATATCTAAAGATCTCCTACAACTTGCTAAATACAAAATCAATATACAGAAACCAACTGTATTTCTGTAAACTAACTATAAAAAGAAAGTGAATTTTAAAAGAATACAACATATGCAACTTGAAAATGTCAAGTAGCTAGGAATGTCTACCCAAAGTTGTGAGACCACGACAAAGTAAAGTATATGAGGTCTGTCTGGAAAAAGCCCAGCCATTGCTAATCTAATGAGAACAGTTTGCATGACATCCATGTAACGTGGCAGCCAAGGAGAGTGGACTGGAATGTGCACACATGAACGATGATGACTTCACTGTATTGGTCAGTGGGGGTGGTAGACGCCATTGAGTGAGCATGTGTACTGTGTGGCCATCACATTCACAATGACTGGGTGAATAGAGCAAAGAATCTGCATCAAATTTTGTGTTAAGCCTGAACATTCCTCCACAGAAACTATTCAGATGATTCAGAAGCCTTTTGGGGACGATGCAATGAGTGCAGTGCAAATACAAGTGTGGCACAAACACTTCAAAGATGACTGAGAATCTGTTGAAAGTGATGCATGTTCTGGAAGGCCTGCAGCAAGCAGAACCCCTGAGAATGTTGAACATGTACAGGCTGCAATTGACAAAGATCAGCGACTGACTGTGTGAGAACTAGAAGCTGATCTGGGGATACCAAAAACTACTGTGTCTGAGATTTTGATGCAGGATCCTGGCATGAAACATGTGGTGGCAAAATGTGTTCTGTGGCTCCTGCTACCAGAGCAGAAGGAACATCGTGCTGCAGGTGGGAGACCTGTGTGAGGTCCCGAGGTGCCTACTTTGAAGAAGACTGAGGCGGCATTGTACTTTGTACAATGTTTCTTGTGTCTTAAATCTTCTTCAAGGAATGTCGCTATTTTTCATATTACATGGCTAGGTACTTTCTGGGCAGACCTTGTAAAATTTAAGAGAAATTAAAGAATTCTCATCACAGGTTTGATTCCCAGCCAGGGTACATGCCTGGGTTGCAGTCTATAACCCCCAGCAACCGCACACTGACCTCTCCCTCTCCCTCTCTCTCTCTCCCTCCCTTCCCTCTCTAAAAATAATAAATAAATAAAATCTTAAAAAAAAAGAATTCTCCCCCAAAGGATGTGACTTGGCATATCCATGAAAAATTTTTTAGAAATATTTTATTTATTGCCCTTGCTGGTGTGGCTTAGTTGCTTAGAGCATTACACTGTAAATCAAAAGGTTGCAGGTTCAATTCCTGGTCAGGGCACATGCCTAAGGTGCAGCTTCAGTCCCTGGTCGGGGCCCAGATGGCAGGCAACCTACTGACATTTCTGACACCAAACAAACTGAGCCACGCCGGTCAGGGCACTGTATCCATGAACTTTCAACATTGATATTGTAAACCTCTGAGATTTCCCTAAATTGATGTATAAATTCAGTGCATTCATAACCAAAACCTCAACAGGTTTTTTCCATGCATCTTGACAAACGAATTCTGAACAATACAGGTCAGGGCATGTACGAGAAGGCAACCGATAGACGTTTCTCTCTCTCATCAGTGTTTCTCTCTCCCTCTTCCTCTCTCTCTCAAAGCAATGAAAAAATGTCCTCGGGTGAGGATTTAAAAAAAGGTTTAGAAAGTGTCATACAAGTCTAAATAAGCATTCTAACTGATGTGACGTGTTCATTTATGTTTAAAGATGTAACATCTTTTGGAAGTAAATGTGGAACTTTTTACGTCATCCTTTAAACGGTACATAATGTACAACTAGACACACGAGAATGAAAACTCATTATTGAGAATGGTGAAGATGCAGCAAAGACATGCTTGCTGGTGGGTATTTTCTATCCTACATTTAACAAATCTTGAATATTCTAGTTCTAAATAGGCGGGTAGGCAGGAAGGCGTAGAGACTTGTCATGGTTCTGTGGCCTGAATGAAATAATGCCCTATGACCGTTGATGTTTCTGAGTTGGGCTGTCTTTATTTTGTCCTCCGAGAACTCTTCCTCAGGGGCGATACTTTCTCTGATGACAGCTGAGCACAGAGGAGGCAAGGTTATTGAACAACCGCCATGAAAAATAAGCCCATGAAAAGGTGCTCAGCATATTGGCCATCAGAGAAATGCAAACCCAGACCACAGTGAGGGGCTACTCACTCCCAGTAGGACAGCTGTGATGAGGCAGGAGGTGGTGGGAGGTGAGGATGCAGAGGAATGGGAACCCGCATACACTGCAGGTGTGAATGTAAAACGATGCAGCTGCTTTGGAAAACAGCCTGGCAGTTCCTCAAATGGTTAAACAGAAGTGACCCAGCAATTCTACTCCTAGGTATGTACCCAAGAGAAATGAAAACGTAAGTGAACACAAAACTTGTACATGAATGCTCATTGAGCATTATCCATAATAGCCGAGAAGGAGAAACAACCCAAATCCCCATTAACGAGCTCATAAATGAGTAAATAAAATGTTTTATATTCCCACAATGGAATATTATTCATCCATAAAAAGAAATGAAGTCAGATAAAAGGTCACATGTTATATGATTCCATTTATATGAAATGTCTCAAATAGGCAAATCCAGAGACAGAAAGATTACTGGTTGCTGGGGCAGAAAAGATGAGGGGGTGAGGGGGTGACAGCTGAGGGGGTACAGGCTTTCTTTTGGGGGTTTGAAATGTGTTTAAAGTTGATTGTGCTAATTATTGAACAACTCTGAATATGCTAAAAGTCACTGAATGGTACACTTTAAGTGGGTGAATTGTATGGTATGTGAATTATATCTCAATAAAGCTTTAAAAACTATGTCATCATTCCATTGTGCTATTTAACATTTCTGAACTCCACCTGAACCAAATTAACCCAGTTTTTAACACCAGACTTCATACCTTAACAGAAACACTGTATCGATCAGAGGAAAATACAACGAACTCTTCTTTAGATATTGGTGTCTTGATGAAAGAAGGCTTCAGCAATGCTTTGCTGGCACCAGTTTGTACCCTTGTGTGGCGTCCTGGGGCAGGGCATCCTAGGAGGACTGGGAATGGATAAAGGTTGCTGTGTGTGTGTGTGTGTGTGTGTGTGTGTGTGTGTGTGTGTGTCTGTGTGTCTGTGTGTGTCTGTGTGTGTAGATGTTCCCTGGCAGCAAAAGCCAACAGTTTGAGTCTGATTCCTACATTCAGCTGGGTCAGCCTCCTCAAGGTGATAAGCCCTGGATGCTTCAGATTCATGGTCTAATTTTAACGTGGAAAAGGAGGAAGGAAGGACCATGTTGGTTAATATATCAAGTTGTAATTCCACTATGCTAAAGATCTATTTTAGTAAGCACCCCAGTGATTCTGCTGCCAGGGGCCATGGTCAATACTGTCCAGTACTGCAAAGAAGAGAAATGATGCTGAGAAAAGGACAGAGAGGACAGTGTCGTCAGGATGGACGGCTTGGTGGCACGGTGGGACCAGAAGCCAGTGTGAGTGGCTTGGAGATTGATCTGGCGCCAGAGAGCACAGACAACATTCAGGAAGCTCGGCGGAAGGAAGAGGTGGCAGGTGGCAAATAGCAAGAGGAGGGTTTGTTTTCAGGATCAGGGAAACTAGAGGTATTCTTGGGATGAAGAGAAGAAATCAGGGAGAGGGTGTGGAGAGGGACATGAGGAGCCTGAGAAGTCGCAGGGGGAAAGGAGGAAGAGACAGGAGAGACGGGCGCTGACTCGTGGAAGGGCGCTTCCTCTGCGGCACAGAAAAGAAGCTCTGGAGAGAGTTACGGTGGCTGTGGGATTGTTGGAGGAGACCAGGTCCCCTGAACTCTGTCTGTATGGAGCTCTGGTGGCGGGGTGACATGTATGTGGCTGGGAAAGAAGAGAGAGAAACAGCGAGGCTCCAGGACCCCAGCGAGGGCTGGAGGATCGGCTGTGGGGACTGGCATCCCGAAGGTCAGTGAGCGGTGCCTCAGCGGTCGGCCAGGCCTGGCGGGCTGGGGCTGGGGCAGCGGGGCTCAGTCACAGGGATCTGGAAGACCCGTTCCTCTAGCTGGGAGATGCCACGAGGTGAGCAGAAGCGGGGGCTTCTCAAGGTTGGAGAACGGAGAAATGTGGGACATGTTCCAGGGGAGAGAGGGTGGGCGGTGAAATCCAAGGTCCTGGCCTGGAAAGAGAAAAGTAAAATGTGGGCAGAGGGGTGGGCTTGAAGAGAGGCTTCCCAACATGGAGATCAGGAAGAGGGTGCTGGGCAGGTTGAGCAGGGCTGGGTGGGAAAAGGAGGGGGCTGGAGACTTGAACTGTGAAGATGCCGAAAGCACCCTGCATGGTATGACACGGGAGCCTCACGGGCCTCCTGTGCTTAACCCACAGCAGGCCGCGCTGTGGGTGCCACATACACCCTGGGTTCGGAACAGGATATGAATGCCGTTAAATACCTCAGTGATAATGTTTATATTGATTACTTGTCTAAATGACATTTGGGGGTATATTGGACTGAATAAAATATATTATTAAAATCAATTTCACCTGTTTCTTTTTACGTTTTCGACATGGCTACAGGAAAAGTTTAAATTATATATGCAGCTTGCACAATATTCCCGGTACATGACACTGGTATAGATGCTCCCTCCCAGGGACACAGATTGTTCGTGTTGTGCCTGTGACCCCAGCCCTGGGACAGGGGCCTGCACAGAGGCCTTGCTGAATGGTGCATGTGCGTGTGTGCGTGCGTGTGTGTGTATGAACTGATGGGTAAGTAAATTCATGAATGAATGAATGAATGAATGGAAAAATTAGAACTCTATATGGTATTCAAGGACTTGGTCAGCTTCTTGGGAACTGTTGAGGATTCTATGTAAGTAAATGAATGAAGGAAAGGGAAACAGAGGTGGTCAGAATTGAGGAAAGTTCACCAAGGTTTTGACATAGGGAGTTTCAAAGAGCATTTTATGGGACCTTGCTTAATATAAGGGCCCAAGAACCCGGACCCTTGACTCACCCCTTTATTTTCCTGTTTAAAAAGTCCTCCTTAGCACTTTTTACTATATGCCAGGGACTGTCCTAGGCATTTTGCATGTTGTAACACCTAAACTTCACATCACCCTATGAGGCTTATTATCCTGTAGAAAGTTCTCAACGAAACTGGCTTACTAGAAACAATTGTAAGTAACCCCCCAACTTCACCCAGAATGATACACAGACACACCATAACTACATAGACAAATACAACAGCCAAATAACCCTGCCTCTCCCTCCCTCACCCCTGCACCCTCCATCTCCCCCCTCCACCCCCGCCCCGCCCCCCATTCCCTGTGCCGCCACCCCTGGGCCAGGCCTGTACCACCGCCTTCCTCCCTGGCCCAGGAGGCTCTTTGCCCTGACCTGGGACTGGACCCCCCCTGCCTTCCTGGGCAGACTCCAGGAAAGCGAGTGTTGGAGTCGTCCGAGACTTTCCAACCGAGCAAATGTTTTAATTGTCAGTCTAGCAGATGCTTGTATGGTGACTACAGGGGTACAGAACAGGGGCCTTTCCAGACACCACCTTGGCCAGTGCCTAGGAGATGCCCCAACCCCACTCACCAGGGACTCCTTCACGACCTCAGATCCCTCTGGTGACAGAGTGGCCCTGAGTTTCTACCCACTGGAGCGACCCTTACCCAGAATCTCCACCTTCAGGGCTAAACACACAATGGAACACAAAGAAGGAACCAACAGGCCATCTTCCTTTCTTTCCCTCTCTCGTTAAATTGTGAATAATAATGCATTTACTTATTCTCCCACTTAAAAAGTGGTTTAAATCCTTTGAAGAATCTTGCAGGGGAGCTTGGCTAGGCAGCAGGCGGGGCAGTCCAGTGCCTCTGGGGGCGGGGCCACGGTCTTCCACTCGCCTGTCTTTTGGTCCAGCAAGTAGGCATTGGGGTTGATGGTGTAGTCCTTTGTTTGGACGTCGTTGGTTGTGGTGATACCCCCACACACAAACACTTTGTTGTCTCCAATAGAGCATATAGCATGGGACACATCTAAGGGGCAGTTGTTGGGCAAGAGAGGCACTGAGGTGGTGGTCTTGTTGGCCTTTATCTTCTGCAGGTTGATTTCCACACTCTGCCGGTGGCTGTGCACGCAGAGGTTGTTGCCCTGATCGAAAGAGAGCAGGGGCCGGTGGTTGAACTCAATGGGGAAGGTGATGCACTGGACCACGTCCCCTGTGTGGGTGTCGAAGCAGTCCACCACCCCGACCCGAGAAATGTAGCCCTTCACTAGGCACCGCCCAGTGACAATGTACAGGTTCCTGTCACCCTTGGTGATCACGGCTGTGCCATCCATAGGAATGCTCATCTTCCCTGCCAGGTACCAGGCCTCCTTGCGCTCGTCGTAGCGATAGATGTTAGAGACATACCGCCGTGGGGCAATGCTGCCACCCACGGAATACACTGTCCCCCCACAGGTCACCATGGTGTGAAAGACAAGCCCGATGGGCAGGTCGGGCAACTTGGTCCAGGAGTTGTCGTCCATGTCATAGCGCCAAGCCGTCTTCAGCCCTGAAATCTGCTCAGTGGTGCCACCAGAAATGTAGATGTAGCGACCAGCAGAGGTGGCGCTCAGCGCTGCTGCCCGGTAGGGCATCTCTGAGAGCTTCAACCACAGGTTCTCCTGTATGATATAGGCAAACACTCCATCATTGAACTTGCCATGGGCCTTTTGGCCACCCAGGATGATCACTGAATCGAGCAGGGCCCCTCTCCTCTGGTAGCTCAGCAAGCTGGTCGGCTTCTCCTGCTTGCGGTCCACAAGGACACTCTCAATCATGGTTGCGTGGGCGGAGCTGTTCTCTATGCCCATCAGCTTGTTGCTGGCAAACGTCAGTGTCTTGTTGGAGACGGCATTAAGATTGATGTAATTGAAGAACTTCTTGAAATACTTCTCCCGCTCATCCTTTCGGAAGTACACCCAGTTGATGAGTGCGCTGAGAGCCTGGTCCTCATTGAGCACATGCAAGTTTTCGTCCCGGAGCAGGCGGCCAAAAATGACAGGCGGGCAGCGCATGAAGTGCACGGAGCCCTCGGGACTGGCCCAGTAGTGGAAGTTGTCACGGATGCCAGAGTAGGCCAAGTCTGACACCTCTTTGAGCTCAAACAGCTCGGCTAAGAAGAGGTAGTGCAAGCAGTTGGCACGGCGGATGGACTTAATCAGAAAGTCACTGCAGTGGATTCGAAGGCGTGGTGTGTTGAAATACTGGGCCCCACGAAGCAGTTCCTCCACGTTCTGCTCTGAGATCACCACCCTGCCGCTGTAGAAGTAGTCCAGGAGCTGCTCCACTGTGGCTGGGCTCAGGTAGTTGGGGTCAATGGTGATAAAGAGCTCATTGGTGGTCTTCATGTCGTTGCAGAAGATGAGGCTCTTCACCAGTGGAGAGACAGCAGCCAGCACATTCTGGTGTGCAAAGAAGACATGGTGATCCACAGTCAGAGCCATGTCCCAGTACTCTTTGCGTTTCCTCTGTTTGTTCAGGTTCTGCAGCATGAAGCTGTTGTAGTTTTTCTCAGTGAATTCCAACTTCATCGTGCTTCTTGCTGGCTGAGGCAGAAGATCAGCAGCAGGTACTAGAGAACAAACCTCCTCAGGCCTTTGGGATTCAAATTGATGGTTGTTTGCAGAGCAGTTGATCAGGGAGGCATGGGTGTGGGAGAGAGGATGAGGTCATAGAGTAGATGAGGTCATCACAATGCAGGTGCCCAGCAGGCCTTTCTCAAGGCACAGGCCCTTTCTCCCCTTTTATGGCTCCAGCCTGCCAAGACCAGATACCCTACCAGGACCTAGACAGAGCTCAGGAGGAAGCCCAGAGATAAGTTGTAACTCCTGTCTAGGACCCTCAAACCTCAGTTCAAGGCTGCTTCTGGGATATCAGAGCCACTTTGGGTGAGGGTAGAGTAAGAAGGGATGAGGGAGGTTGGGGGAAGCATGATTAGCTCCTCCGGACGAATCCTCCCATTGTACAGGAGGAAAGCTGAGGCCCAGATAAGAGAGGGGACTTGCCCAAAATCACCTAGCCAGGTGGAAGCGGAGCAGGACCTGGAACCCCAGTTTTCTGTAACTCAGGCCCCTTTCTGCTCTTCTAGGAAGCTCTTAACTACTCAGTTTCCCCTAGTCTCTGATTCTTAGGCTTTGAAGTGCCTCTCTCTGCTGAGGCTCCCGGGCATCAGGGAAGAAAACCTCTGTCCTTTGGCTTTTGACCTTTGTGGCCACAGATACCATTCTTTCAAACAGAGGAAGAGGGGGAGGCCACTTACTGGATGCAGGAGTCAGCCAGGCACGGGGGGGATGGGAGGGCCTCTGAAGCCCTCATTATTTCAGTTCCGCAGCACACTGGGACGTTTGCCCCACATTTCCAAGCTTCTAGTTGTAAACTGTTGGGGGCTGTAGTGCGTCAGCTTTCTCCACCAAGTGTGGACTTGGACGGGTTGCCCACTCTCTCTAAGTCTCAGTTTCTTCCTCTGTGAGATGGGAATGGTAGTACCTGCTTCAAAGAGCATTAAGAGTTTAAATGAGAAAGTAATTTAAATGAGTGTTAAGCACGATGTTTGGCTTGTAGCAAACGTTCAATAAATGCTACCTGTCGTTATTTTATTAATATTGCATCAGAGCACCAAGATCTGGGATTCCTGGCTGCTTCCTTCATAAACACGTGTCAGGAAGCCTGGAACGCGCGGGTCCCTTTGGGCAGGCTCCTTGAGCCTCCTGCGGCCGCACGGTGGGGCTAGAGAGTCATCTCTGGCGCCGGTGGGAGCCTGCAGGCAGACGCGAACGCCTCTCGGTCCCTCAGCGCGCCGCCTCGGCTGCACCCCTCTGCGGGTTGCGGGTTGCGAAGAGCCGTGGGGTTTCCCCTCTTCGGCTGGGCTGCCGCGCGCCTGCGTCCCCGTCCTCACCCCCGCCCCCACCCCTCGGGCAGAGGCTGCAGGACAGGTCCACTGGCTACGACCCTGGAATTCGAATGGTAGGGGCCCTTTGTGATCGCCGCAAACACACCTTTGTCCACTTTGCAGAAGGGGTTCGGAGCCCCAGACAGGGTATGCCAGAGAGGAGCCGGCTCGGATCCAGGGTCCTCCCCCATCTCCGATGTCCCGCCTGGCGAGGTGCTCTAAGCCTCGGCCAGCTGGGCACCCCCGCCTCCGGGTTGGTGTGGGGTGCCCCGTAGCGTCTCTGCCAAGGAGGGATTAAGTGACAGCCGGAGCCTCCTGTGGGCCCCATCTGGACCAGGCTTGGGGAGCTCCCAGGAAGGGGCTCAACACGCAGGCCCTAGCAGCACTGCCAGATGCAGAGAGGACCTGGGCTCGCGCTTCCCCCACCCCCAATCTCCTCCATCCTGAGCCCTAAGCCCCACTCCTGACCCTCAGCGAGTCCTTAGCGCCCCGACTAGGAAACTCAGTGTCACCGGGAGCCTTGGGCATGTGAACAGGTCGGCTCTTTTTTCCCTGGGTTAGTCAAATTCCCAATATTATTCACTGTCTCTCCCTCACCCTTTCATTCTAGACCCGGCTTTTTCTTTATTTTGGCATTTGATAATTCGAAAATTATTTAAAAGTACCTACCTTTTAATTCTGAATTCGTTTACCTTAATCCTCAGTCTCCTGACATACCCATTTGCACAAGGCGGCAGACTTGTTTGCCCAGTGGGAAGAAGGCTTAGATTTCAGCCCCTCTGCCACAGACGAGCTGTGTGTGCCTTAGCGAGTTCCTCCTGGCTCCCTTCTCTCCATGAGAGAACGTTTGAGCTCTAATTGTTTCTCCAGCCCTGATCTACAAGAGAGGGCAGCGACTTGGGTGGAGGAGGAAGCCTCTTAGCATTGATACCAAACTCTCACTCCCACTGGCCTCCAGGCCTGCCCTTATGAGAGGCCGTTTGTACCCAGGAGCAGGGGTTGGGTGGGTAAGGTCCTGCTGCTTCACCTGCTCCTTTGCCCCCACACCCTGCAGCCTTGGGGGCATTTTGGTGGAGGAGGTGGTTGTGCCCCTTTGCTTTTGTTTCAGGCCCCCTGAACAGGGCAGGGTCTCTCATCAGATGCTTCCATCCACTTAAGAAAGCTGGCCCTCAGGGTGTGTCATGGAGACCTGAAATGAGCCAATAGACCTAATTAATTCCATGCGCCAGACCTTTTATGGCTGGACCAATTGGGGCCCAGAGAAGATAGGGGCCTCCATCAACTCGCAGCGTCCAGAACTGAGCTTGGAGCCAGGGCTCCTGACTCCTTCGGCTGCCCTCTGGCTGCAAAGGAGAGCTGGAATCTGGCTTCTCCTCTGCTTTCGTTGAACTTGTGAGAGTTGTCATCTTTAAGAAATCCATTGAGCCCTGGCTGGCGTAGCTCAGTGGATTGAGTGCGGGCTGTGAACCAGGCATCGCAGGTTCAATTGCCAGTCAGGGCACATGCCTAGGTTGCAGACCACAGCCCCAGCAATCACACATTGCTGTTTCTCTCTCCCCCTCTCTCTTTCTCCCTCCCTTCCCTCTCTAAAAATAAATAAATAAAATCTTTTAAAAAATCCATTGAAAAAGTGAGATTAGTGCCCCCCCACCCCCTGCTCTGTCAGCTTTGTTGTCTGGCTTTTCTTCAGCCTGGAAAGCTCCTCCAGTCTGCTTTTTCCTCACTCCAGCCAACTGAGGAAACAGACGCCAGCCCCAAGAGGCTGGTTGCATGCCAGTATCAATAGACACAACCAGGGTGGAGGGTGTTTCTTAGCGTGACTAGAAAGTTCAATAACTGGTCATCAAGTCCCTGTTGCTCATGGTGGCTGCCCAGGTGTAGCCTGCAAAGGACCTCAGCCCAAGCCTATCATCCATCCTCAGCATCCTGCCTAGCTCAGTATTTCTGTTCATGAAGATCCCAGGGGAGGGTACCCTAATATTTTAATTTTCTGGGGACCATCGGTTGATATATCAATTTGTTGGGAAGCCCTGAAGAAAATGAGGTGTGTGTTTTAGAGATACACAGATCTGACCTGGGAGTAGAAAACTTAGGGGCAGTCTTTCAGTATCTCCACCTCTTTTGTGCCTTTAACTACAGTCACTTCTATATACAATGTTTTCAACTCATAACCTGACTTGCAGAAAGCTTTGGCTTGCCATGGCCCTAATTCAAACCCATGGCATCCTTATTTTTCCAGTTCTACTGGTAAATTCTCCCGTGTTTCTTAGCTCAAATTCCTGGCTGATGGCCAGCCTGGAGACTGGCAGCTCTTGGATCACATGTCCACTCCGGTCCAATCAGCTGTGTGCGGGTAGGTCAGATGGTTCACAACATAGCTGCCTGAGGAGCACAGTCCTCAGGGGAGAGGTTGGAGGTATTCAGAAGCTTGAATTACAGGAACTCAGAGTTATGGATTGATTACCTTAGCCACTGATTCAGAATCAGGCATGAATCACAGGGGAGGAAAATATTACACAAAAGGAAAAGATTTTATTGTCTTCGTCCACACGCCTGGGTGAAATGAAGGGCACAGCATGAGACCGTGTTCACAGTGCCACAGAGACCTTCAGGAAACGTGGTTCAAGGACTGGTCTGCGCAGACTCCAGCCTGTATGCAGGCAGCTCCCTGGTGCCTGCCCTGCTGTCTCACTGGCCACAGATCCCTGATCTCAGGGACACTCAGCTTGGCATCTGGGTTAGTCCCTCTCCCATGGCCCACGTGAAATCATTGTTCAGGGGAACTTGGTGTAGTCTGAGGCAAAGTTCAGAACCACATCAGCGACTCTGAGCCCCCGCACGGGAATCTCCCAGGAACGCTGGGGCCCGTCACACATTCCAGGCGGGAGCAGCAGCGCAGCTGCAGCCACAGCTGCCAGGAACAGCCTGGGCTCCCGCCCTGTGTCGGGGAGGCCAGCGGCTGCAGGGTTTCCTCTGGGGGCCCTGAGTGAGCTCACCCTCACCCGGACGCTCACTGACTTCATCCATCCAAGGCCGCTTGGCCAAGAGCCCAGGCAGGGTGAGGGGCTCTCTCCCACAACGGCCAGCGCCACCTAGCAGACTCGGGGGAGGGGTGAGTTTCAGGCCTGGCCCAGCTCCCCGAGAATTGGGGGGTACATATTGATCTATGAAATGCCAGGGGGTTTTAAGAAAAAAGATGGGGGGGTCAAGGGTGGTGGTGGTAGCAGTACTTTGCTATTTAAAGGTAGAAAAAATGTGGGGGTGGGGAGCGGTGCTGGAGGATTGAGCAAAAAAAGAAAGAGAAAACTCATGGACATGGACAACCGTGGTGATTGCCAAGGAGAGGGGGGCTAGGGGGAGGTAGAGGAGAGTTTGGGGGGATGAATGGTGATGGATGGAGACCTGACTTGGGGTGAAGAACACACAATACACAGTGAACAGATGATGTGTTGTGGAACTGTACACCTGAAACCTGTATCATTTTGTTAACCAGTGTCACCCCAATAAATTCAATGAAAAGGAAAAACATAAAATGAGGCAGCATACATAAAAAGAAAAACGCAAGGGAGCAAAGCTTTTTTCTCCATTTGTTCTTTGGCAGTCCCATCAGAGAATTCCAGGGCACGAATGACATCATGTCTTACAACTGAGAAATCTCAGTAACTCCGTGAAGTGGAGCCCCTGCCTGCACCGTGTTTCTGATGGAAGCTGCTTTATATTTCTTTGTTTGAAGCTGTGTTCTATGTCACATTTAAATGAAGGTTTAATGTTCTTAAATATCTACTGCAAGTAGATTACAATGCATGAAGATCACAGGAAGTGAACTTCACTTCTCAGCATCACAAACATTTGAAATCAGTAAGAAAGGTATAAAAGTTTGCTTAAAAAATAACAGAAAGTTTAAAAATGGATCCCCCCCTGCAAAGTCCAAATAATTGTGGTCTAACAATCAGAGTAAAGGCTTCAACGGCTCATTCCTTTGCTAAGAATGAGTTCATGCAAAACTGTATGTTCAAGTGTGTGTGCCAGAGACACACATGCACCACACACACAAGCACATACACCCACAAAGACAGACGCACAGCTGCGTTTTTGTTGTTCTAGGCACTTCATATCCGCGTTCTTAGGTCTGCCACCTGCCCGTTGCATTTGGCAAGTTACTTCTTTGGAGGCAGGACATTTTCTTCGAAGAAGCCCTGGTTGACGACATTCCCTGCCGGGAAGTACCTGGCCACCACGAAGGAGGAGCCATCGCTTGCAGATGCCTTCCCCACACCCATCTTCTTCGTATTCTTCCACACCATGGCCGTGAAGTGTCCTGTAGGGGCACAGGCAGGGGGAGGGGACACGAGTTAGTTAGCAAAGCCTGGAGAAGGATGTTTCAAGAGATTCGAGAGCTCCTGCACTACCCTGCCAGGGTCAGGGAAGCTTCATCGGCCCAGGTACCACTCAGAGGAAGGAGACACTAAACACACCAACGGCCTGAATTTCCGTAGCATCAGGTCCTCTCGGTCACCACACTGACCCTACTCACTCACCACTTTTCGATGCCCAAAGGGTTTCATGGTCTCCCAGGGATCATGAGAAAGCCCAGAGACCCCCAACAATTAGGATGCCACCCTACTTCGCACCTGCCTCCAGCCCTTGCGCAAACTCTAGTCTGTGAACCACCAATTTCCCTGTTCCTCCCCAATTGTCACTCTTTGTCTTCATCTTACTCAGCATTGCAGGAACATCTAACAGGGTTGTCTCCTCTCCTTTTCAAAGCACTCCCCTCTTTCGGTTTCAGCGATGCCACCTCTTGGCATTGCTCCCATCTCCCGGCCTCTTCTTCCCCCTCTTGATGTCACTGGTAGATGTCAGAGGGCCTGCATTTCCCTCAGCCCAACTCTGGGCTCTCTCTTCCTGCTGCACTCCTCAGGCAACTCCATCTCCGCCTGGCTCCTGCGTTTATTTCTCCAGCCCAGACCTCTCCTCTGTGTTCCAAACACAGCTCCTTGACATTTCCACTTGGATGACTCACAGGCATCTCAGATTTAACCTCACTCTGGATTTTGGTCCACCCAAAGTTACCCCTCTCCCTACCCTCCCATTTAGTTAATGGCCACTCTGCACGCAATCCTAGGGATAAGGTCTGCATTGCATCCCCTACCTCGTTCCTCACAACAGCAGGGCTGGGTCCCCCATTGGGGGGCATGTGAGAGGCAATATTCAGTGCTGACGGATCTAACGCTAAAATACATCTCCAGTCCATCCACTGCCAAAACTTTGGTCCCCACCACCAACCTTCCTCACCTGGTCCATTGCAAGGGCCCCGACTGATGCCCCCAGCTCCCACCTCTGTCTCTTCAGTTCACTGGCCGCTGAAGTAGCCTGAGTGACCACTGTGAGACTAAGTCCTATCTGTTTCCTTCCCCGCTGGAAAACCCCTGGACTGCCTCCATCTGCACCCAGAAGGGAGGTGAATGCTTTGGTGCAGGGGCCTCATTTCCATTCCGTGAACACCCCTGGTTATTTCCCACTGTGGGGCGCTTGTGCACACTGGTGTGGAATACTCTTCTGATGACTAACAGCTAGTCCCTCAGGCCCCAGCCTTAATGTCACTTGTTCGGAGAAGCCTTTCACAGTCACTTTGATTCCCTGGACACTTCCCTCCCGAGATGGTCTTATCGCAACTGTGTTTTTTTTTTCCCCTTTGTAACATTCTTGCTTGCTTACTGCTTGGCTCCCTCACAAGGCTACGAGCCTCACGCGGGTAGAGACCAAATTGGTTTATTCCCCGAAGTATGCACACGCAAAGTGTACAGTAAACTTTCACTGAATGAGTGAATGGCATGAAGGAGTGAATGAGTAAAAGG